CCCTCCCTCTCATTTCCTTCTTCTCCCCCTCCCTCTCATTTCCTTCTTCTCCCCCTCCCTCTCATTTTCTTCCTTCTCCCTCTCAAATTCCTTCCTCTCCCTCAAATTTCCTTCCTCCTCCCTCCCCTCCCTCATTCCTTCCTCTCCCCCCTCCCTCAAATTTCCTTCCCTCTCCCCCACCTCAAATTTCTCCCTTCCTCTCCCCCCTCCCTCAAATTTCCTCCCTTCCTCACCCCCCTCCCTCCCTCAAATTTCCTCCCTTCCTCTCCCCCCTCACTCCCTCAAATTTCCTCCCTTACTCTCCCCCCCTCACATTTCCTCCCTTCCCTCCCTCTCCCCCCCACTCACTCCCTCAAATTTCCTCCCTTCCTCTCCTCCCCTCAAATTTCCTCCCTCCCTCCCCCCCCACACTCAAATTTCTTCCATCCCTCTCCCACTCACTCAAATTTCTCTCCCTCTCCCCTCTCTCTCCCCCCCACCCCACTCAGATTTCACTCCCCCACTCAAATTCTTCCTCCCTCTCCCCCCCCACTCAATTTCTTCCTCCCTCTCCCCCCCACTCAGATTTCCTCCCTCCCTCTCCCCCCCACCCCCCCACTCCAAATTCTTCCCTCCCTCCCCCCACTCAAATTTCTTCCCTCCCTCTCTCCCCCCACTCAAATTTCTTCCCTCCCCTCTCCCCCCCCTCTCAGATTCCACCTCTCCCCCCACCCCCACTCAAATTCTTCCCCTCCCCTCTCCCCCCTCCAGATTTCCTCCCCTCCCCCCCACCCCCCCTCAAATTTCCTCCCCACTCTCACATTTCTTCCCTCCCCTCTCCCCCCAATCATTTCTTCCTCCCTCTCCCCCCCCAATCCACATTTCCTCCCTCCCCCACCCCCCACTCAGATTTCCTCCCCTCCCCCCCACCCCCCACTCAAATTTCCTCCCCCCACTCCACATTTCTTCCCTCCCCTCTCCCCCACTCAGATTTCCTCCTCCCCCCTCCATTTCTTCCCTCTCTCCCCCAATCCACATTTCTTCCCTCCCTCCCCCCACCCCCACCACTCCTCCCCCCACCCCCCACTCAAATTTCCTCCCCCCACTCACATTTCTTCCCCTCCCTCTCTCCCCACTCCCACTCACTCAAATTTCCCCTGGAAGCCGTCCGGCGCGCGAGGGAGCACTCTCTGGGTGCTTCCTCTTCAGCTCCCTCGCGCACCGTACTGATGCCGGAGCCGGAAGATGACGTCATCTTCCGGCTCCGGCATCTGTACGGCGCGCGAGGGAGCACTCTCTGGGTGCTTCCTCTTCAGCTCCCTCGCGCGCCGACCGGACCGCCCGCCGGGTGTCTGCAGGGCCAGCCTCTGGGGGCCCCCCAGGAGAAGAGGCTGGCCCTGTGGGTACATACTGGGTCGCAGGGCCCCCTGCGACCCGGTATGTACCCACTGAATCTGGGGCCCGGACGACCTGAGCAGTCCGGGCCCCCCAGGACCGCCGGGCCCATGACAACCGTTGCGGTTGTCATGCCCTGATGGCGGCCCTGCGTATGGTTCCTGTTCGTTTATTTGAAGTGCTACCTTATTCCCTTGTATGCCGTTCGGGAGTTTGGAGCATTCACTTATTGGCGGTTCGTGAGTTTTGGTGATTATTCAGTAGCTGTGCCTGTCTCTGAAAAGGGGGATTATCGTCTAAGCGGTTTTTTCCCCTTTTGTGCAAAACGGTCCGTTACACCATACTACGGGCATACTGTAACGGATCACCTGGCCCCCCCGACTGGGTACCTCAGTTGAAGGATGCTGCTAGTGCTTACAGAGGGCTCCAAGCACTCCGCAGACACCACAACCACCGCAGACCCCACGAACTGCCACAGCTTGGTTGGGGTCTCGCCGTCTCCTACCCACCTTGGCCCTACGACAAGGCTCCAAGTTCCAGTGGGTGAACCTCTCCTCCAAGAGAGTAAAGCAGGAACAAGCTCTTAAAAGAACTTAGAAGTGATTATCCAAGGGAGCATGCAGAGCATAGCAATTCCGTGTAGTGATATAGCAATTCCCCCAATAAGAGACAGGACTCTAGATTGAGGGTGAAGAAGAACTCTATTACTTGGCACCAAAGGGCCTTCTTTTATGCAGGTTTTCCCTACATAGGACCACCCACAGGGTTTTACAGAACAACCAATAACACACGTACATTACAGAAAACACTCCCAGCAATTACCCACAAAAATCCTCCCCTCTGCCTGTGATCTAATTATACACACGATGCTTAAAGGACCACTATAGTGCCAGGAAAACATACTCGTTTTCCTGGCACTATAGTGCCCTGAGGGTGCCCCCACCCTCAGGGACCCCCTCCCGCCCGGCTCTGGAAGGGGGAAAGGGTTAAAAACTTACCTTTTTTCAGCGCTGGGCGGAGAGCTCTCCTCCTCCTCTCCGCCTCCGTTACGCCCCGCCGGCTGAATGCGCACGCGCAGCAAGAGCTGCGCGCGCATTCAGCCGGTCTCATAGGAAAGCATTTACAATGCTTTCCTATGGACGCTTGCGTGCTCTCACTGTGAAAATCACAGTGAGGAGCACGCAAGCGCCTCTAGTGGCTGTCAATGAGACAGCCACTAGAGGATTAGGGGGAAGGCTTAACCCATTCATAATTATAGCAGTTTCTCTGAAACTGCTATAATTATGAAAAAATGGGTTAAGCCTAGAAGGACCTGGCACCCAGACCACTTCATTAAGCTGAAGTGGTCTGGGTGCCTAGAGTGGTCCTTTAACATAATTAACACAGGCAGGAAAAATACAGTTTTTATACATGTACTATAACTTTAAAAATATACATCCAATCTTCATAATTACATATTATTAATCAGCATACTTGAAATATAAACATACTCAAAAATCATGCAAATCCTTTCATTAGTTCAAAATTTAGTCAGAAGCCCTTTGTGACCGACCGCAGGCACATTTTCCTGCTCAAAACAGTTCCATAGATTTGGGCTGTGCAGTCGGTCAATTTCCCACTGAAAAAATGACTAAGTCCCAGTCGAACGTACGTTCGAATCTTCGAATGGGACTTAGTCTCTGCAGCTGAAAACGGAGTGTAGGAGAAGGTAAGGGTCAGCGGTGTTCGTTGAAAGTTCAATGGATTTCAGTTCCATGGATTTGGCTACACATACAGCTGACCTCGTTCGAATGAACAAAGATGGCTGCCGCCACGTGTTCGTTTGTAGAATGGCGGCCACTTCGACTACTTTGGCTGCATCCGAAGTGCCAATTTAAAGCTGCAGAACTGCTCCAATACAATTTAAAGGGGCAGCAAGAGTCTTTTAAAATCCAATCTGCTAAAATAGTCTTTAACAGGCAATATCTTCCAGGGGCCATAGTCTTAAAGGGACATTGTTCACCAAAGGCACAATGTGCCCACAGACAGTTCTTAAAGGGCCATACACATTCCAATAAAAGTCCATAAGCCCAAATGCTGATTTCAGAGGGTACAATCTCCCCGGGGCCATAGTCGCAGGGGAGGAGGCAGGCAAGCAGGCCTCTCCAGGACAAAGGGCACTTCATCACACATCTCCCCTTTGGGGGGAAGACTAACTAGGCACCTGACCTTCTGTCGGTCAGTGCCTAAGTTAGTCGATCCGCCCATCCACAATAAACGAGGTCCAGAGCAGCCCACCCACCACAAACAGTTACTGCACCTGGGTATCTCTCTGGGTTGATGGGGCAACACGCTGTGGGGACTTGAGGGGCCGAGGCCAGCGGTGCTTTGCTCTGATGCCAGCACTTCTGCTGGGGTGAGGGGGGTGCAGGCCAGTCCTGTAACATGGGGGTCAGTAGGGCAGAGGCCAACTGCACTCTGCCCAGCTGCCAGCTCTTCTGCTGGGGTGTTTGGGACATCGTCCGGCTCAGTAGCTAGGGGAACATGGGGGTTAGCCTCTGCTTCTCTGGTGTATCTGCTCAATCTGGTTGTCTGGTTATCTTTGCTTAGCTGTTTCCAGAGCCTCTGGTATGGGCATATCCTTGTATTACAGTAGCCAGTATTTAACCTTGTTAACCTTCCTCCTTGTGGCTCAGGTATGATGTTTTGTGCAACCAATCTAATTCCACTAGCGTCCTCTTGACAATGTTTAAACATTGTGTAACTAGCTGTTTTGGTGTTAGGGCAGGTGAAGGTCTCTTATTCACCCCTGTTTCCTCTAACAGGTCTGACAGGAAGCTGTTCATTGCTACCCGTGAGCACCTCTTGACAGACGGGGTACAGGATACAGAGATTTTCTACTTGCAGTCTGTTTCGCTATGCTAAACTGACTGACTGAATGGGAGTACACACTTGCTGTCACCCAATGAATGCGCTCCCCAGACCAGTGCATCCAAGGCCTGGCGGTATGCTGGCCCACTCGGAAATTTCCGGTATCCAGTGTGCCAGTCCAGCCCTGCAGATCTATAAAAAAAAAATTACCCTGTGTGTATTCACATGGCTGCTAACTGCCTGCTAACCGAAAATGCATCTGCTCTAATCTGCTGCTCTGCTGTTTTGAGGTTATGTTGCTGCAGCTACAACTCTAAGTAGTAAACAATAACAACATGGTAGGTTCATCTTGCTCAAAGCAGCTTTCACTGTAAATCAAGAAGTCAGTCCCATTAGTATGTCATGCTGTTGGATTAAAGTGCCAATTAATCCTAGGAACACAGAAGGAAGCTACCATCAGTTTGGGACTATTATTTGTTTGCTCAAATGAGCATTGGGTAGATCCTGCACTTTCCTGACCACTGTTGCTATGTTGATGTGGAGTGTGCAGCAAGAAACTAATTCTGTTTTCCCAGAAAGACATCCATCTTGCTGATGAACAAGGGGATGCCCTGTCCCATGTCTGGTTTTATGTATTACCTCGATTATGCCCAATTTAGGGGGTGTATATTGGGGGTATTTGCTGCTAGACCTTTTTCTTGAAAAAGTCTTAGTTAAGAGACAAAAAGCATAGGCCTGAGGTCTCTTAATTTTGTGCCAATAATTAATTTACAGTTTTAGAGTGCTATCTCTTTAAGATTACCACAGCCTTTTTCAAGGCTACTGGACGCAGCAACATTCAAGATCCCAGATTGGCATGCTCCACTTTCTGGCGTGATGTGTTTGCACCATTGGACCCTGATGCTTACTACCGCCAGTGAGGGTCGAGCTATCTGGGCGGATCGGGATCTGGTCCAACTCTCTTTATCCTCAGAATCCGTGGTGGGGACCCCATGGTCAGGTACATTAGACATGGTTTCACTGAAACTGTTTACATAGACTAAATTACATTATTATGGTTTTATTTTAGATGCTTGTGATTTGTTTAGACATAGTTTTATTTCTATGGTGGTCCTTACTTTTACTCTGTGCCTATCCTTGGCTACTTAATATTATTTGCTCGATAATATCTGTGTAAATATATATATGTATGTGTATGTATGTATGTATGTATGTGTGTGTGTATGTATGTGTGTGTGTATGTGTATGTGTGTGCATGTATGTGTATGTGTATGTGTGTGTATGTGTATGTGTATGTGTATGTGTTCGGGGCCATTTCAGTAATAGTGTGAATTAGTAAGTAAGTACAATACCACAATAAGTAAAGTTGGTTGAGGTGTGCCGATACTGACGTGTGTGGTAGGCCTGTAAATAAGTGGGCCCACCTTAAATAGAATTGAATAAAGGGAGAGGAGGGTGGGCCAGACATATGTCTCGAACCAATTAGGTAAGTAGGTCAGAGGGGAAGTCCTTTTTATAGGCACATAGCCTCTCCCACAACTACAGGCCCAGCCTTCCAATTTGTGTTTGGGGCCATTTCAGTAATAGTATGAATTAGTAAGTAAGTACAATACCACAATAAGTAAAGTTGGTTGAGGTGTGCCGATACCAACGTGTGTGGTAGGCCTGTAAATAAGTGGGCAAAAAGGAATGCCAATCGTGTAATACCAAACATATATATTATGAAAACACACATGATATGATACTTGCAAATTTATGATAACATCCTAACAAAATGCTTTCTTAATTCTTGTATAGACTGAGGTAGATACACCGCATAAGCTGATTACTTCTTGTAGTTTGTACAGATTCAAGTACTGTAGGCAATGCTAAGAATCGTGTTGCCCTGTGACCGTGAATTCTTTGGATCGGAGGAAGCCGTAGTAAACCAACTATAGAACGGTTTTAAGAACCGATGTTCGTATGTGGTTCGAAAGGTGTGGTATCCAGTAAGCCTGAAATACATTTGAAGAAATGTATATCAATAGGCCACCTACATTGTGAGTAGGTCCATTGGATTTGAGTATACCCTAAGGAGGGTTTTGATGGGGTAGAATGTGAGGAGTCCTTGTTTGTTGGGATGAGCTGAAAACATGTGATGTTGAATGCCCGGGAGATATAAATTAATAGTTTTGTGTGACATTTATTTTTATGTGGCAAAAGTGGCGAAAGCCCCCCGAAGTTGTATTATCAAACCAGTTTGTAAGGAGGTGATCTGACATGAATTTCGATATATGCAGTAAGCTCTGTCATAGCAGTGTGCGTATTCTTTGAGGGCCTATTTGTGAATTCCTGCTGCGACTTAGCAATTCTTCTAGTCCATTGGTAATTCATTGGAGATGGGGAGCGATCGTGGCTATTGGTGAGGCAGCTGTTAGGGACCTCCTGAACACCTGAAATTGAAGACTAGATAACTGGTCATCAGCTGTATTGTAAATGCCTGGTACGTGGTAACACACCAGATAACATTGGTGAGAGGCTGCCCCCACTTTAGCCGTCTGATGAATTTCATAATAAGGGATAAAGACAGGCCTTGTTTATGACGTGGCACATGACCTCGAACCGGTCTGCCTGCCCATGAATAACCCCATGTTGCTGCTGTGGCTACAATGAGATATACCACGAAGTGTGCAGAGTTCTTATGGAACCCTTCGATCTGGTTTACTTCTTCCGGCCACCTACCCCAAAGCCAAATGTCCCCTGAGATTGCAGCAAGCCCTTCTGCTAGAAGAAACCGAAATATTATGAACATTTCTAGTTTTCCAGTAGGAACTAATATTGGAGACCCGTACCCGTAAGTGTACGTGACTGGAGTTGTAAATGTAGAGAAAGGGCCATATAGGGAGGAATTTGAGTAGTCTACTGTGACCTTGGTCATATGTAATTGTCCAAATGTGGGGCCAAAATTGAGTCATAGTGGATTGCCCGTGGTGGGCCATATGTAACATGAGAGTGATGGCCTAGCGAGGGCAAAGTGTAGAGGCATGCTGTGGTAGGTTGTGACAAAAGTGCAAACTTATGTCAAACTGATCATTCCTATGCCGCATATAATAACCCAAATGAGGGGCCGGCATTATGTGGATAGCTCTTTGGCTGGCCGTATGTAACATATAGAGAGTGTGGCCGTGGTATGATAAGGTAATGTTTGCCTCTATAAGCTGGAATTACTTAAAAGCCTAGATGCTGGGTAAGGCCTTACAGTAGGCATTGAACATGTATGGCTAATGTGGAAACTCGTACCATGGTTGCCAGAGCAGTCCCATAGCCAGGGAAGCGGGAAGGACAGTATAAATATTATGTATATGAACTGGTCTAATACGCAGCGGTGAGGTGGGAATAGTCCAGTATGGAATTGGCTATGTAAGCACAATGGTGGCTGACTAGTAAGGTCGACCCAGGGAAATTTAAATGACCCACATGATAAATTCAGTACGTATCATAATGTATGTGGCAAGTTGCATGCATCGTAAAATAGAAAAATAAGAGAGGTAAGGAGAACTTCCGTTATGAGGGAATCATTACACTCTGTGAGTTTAGCCAGGTGTAGGCCATGTAGGTAGAGTCGTGAGGAAAGCCCCTGTGTGGCTGTATGTGGACAGTGCAAGATATAGCAGATTTATAATACTATAAAACGTGGTTGATGACAGGAAGAAAGCTGTGAAATAGCTGAACTTTACACATACATTCCTATGCAAATGATATGTGAACTTAGTGCCCAAATGAAGGGTTGCAAATAAGACGTAGTTGTCCACTAAGGTTACCTGAAGTATGTTGCAAAGGCTCATAGATGGCTTTGTGTGAAGACCATGCATAAGAGGTTGAGAGAGGCCCAATGTAGTTCCTGTGGTACTGGGAGGTAACGCAAGTCTGAGTGGAATTTAATGGGGTGGGGTTGGTGGTTTATTTTTAACATTTGATCACTGTAGGGTCTACACGGGGAACATGATAGAGGTGTTGAAATACCATAACTAAATATATCATATACTTGCTGAGTCCAATGACCTGAGGGTAGACGTACAGGACACAATTGCCAGGAATATAGGCTGAGACCTATGGAATGTGGTAGTGTCTGTACTGACACCAGACCATGAAGGTTATAACTATACTGCTGAATAATTTACTCAGTCTTGTGTCTCTGGATTTAAGGACCACTGAGATATCACCCTAGGTGTATGAGCGGTACTCTGTGACATCCTGGGAGGCAATGAGACACGAGACGAGATTAACGTCCTTGCTGTCCAGGATGTCCTTTTCGAGGTTTGCCGGCACCATATGGTTGAAGTAATAACTTGAGGCCCTAAGATGATGGACGTGTTAGAATTACTGGGTTGGGAATGGGGAAGGCCCGGAATTTTACTTGCGCGTGGTTCTGGTATCACGACTGGACAGCTTATGGCTTCCAGTTTCTCTAGTCTATCATTCCTCTGCCTCATGGATGTTAGTATAGCGCCGATCCTGGTATACAGGTTGGCATTGCTCATGCCACTTGTGCCTTCCCCCGTGTCTGATTTCTTAGTATTGGCTTGCATTAGCCTGAATAGTTCTGCTTTGCGGGAAATAGCTGTAAAGGGTATGTTGCCCTGCATAATTCGGCCGTGACTCGTGGGAGGTTCCACGATCTAATTGGACTGCCGGAGTCCCCTTTTTGTGTAGGGGAGGCAGTCCTAGTTGGAATACTTGGAATAGAAATGCCATCTCCTTCTTCTGGAACTTGGGACATAATGAAATATATATGTAGGAATAATGAGAGTGTATACAGATGTTAACCTAATGCCGAAGTGGCAAAACAATTAGACTGGTGACTGGTGAGTCCCTACTGGTTGCCAAGCAGCTGGGTCAGCTCTACCTATGGTTGGCACAAGGGGGTGATCTGCTGAATGTGGGCTTACAAGGGATGAGTCTTTGATCTGCGGAGGGGGTGTGACGAGTGATTTCCTTGCTATGCAACATGCGAGGTGTCTAGCTATGAATTTGGCCCATAGGGCTACGTTACCTCTTTTGTGAAGGATGGGTTTTGGCCTTGCAGGACCTCTATCTCTAAGGCATGAGGTGCCTGAGAGAAATACCTAGATGGCCATACCAACTCGCCTCTATGGAATTAATCTTTATATTAAATCAGTGTTTAAGGAACCGGAAGCAACGTACCTGTAAGCACAATGTATGCTCGGTGTTCTGCAGTAGTCTGAGATTCTGCTAAGGGGGAGGCCTGAACCAGATGCCAGATGACCGAATGGAAGGCATTGGGTACATACGAGTTTGTGTTGACATGCTGCTGCTGAAAATCCTACACGATCATATTGTTTGCTTACACTATGGTCACCTACCTTTGAATAAAGTAAGAATTGTTCTGGTATGTCACATATACTGTAGGATCTGATGAGCCAAGTCTGTCTAGGGTAGTGGATGCCTGGAATAGCCTTCCAGCTGAAGAGGTAGAGGTTAACACAGTTTAAACATGCGTGAGATTGGCATAAGGCTATCCCCACTATAAGACAAAGACTAGTGCCAATGAAAGTAGCTAGAAAACTGGCAGACGAAATGGGCCGACTGGCCCTTATCCGCCATCACACTCCATGTTTCTATGTTGCTATGTCTAAGCTTGGCGTGTTGAGCCTGTAACATATGTCAGAATAAGTTATGGTAGTATAGTGAATGTGTGCTCGGTCCCGATGTACCCAGCGTACATTTATGTGCTTGTGCCCTGAGTGTCGTATTATGTCTAAGTAACAAACCGTATGTTTGAAACGTATCGTGCACGTATGAATAGAAGGATATGACTTGAGAACTTGTCCCTGATACCAAATAAACGTACCAATTACAAGCAAAACCCTTCTTGCGTTGCAACTTGGTCTATAAACATGAAAGTAGACCTGTATGACTAAAATGCCAAAAAATAAAAACATATTCCTGAAACCTGACTTGGGACAATTAATTTCCATACTACTTGAAGTACCAACAGTTTGTTAAGCCATAT